ACTACTACTTCTACTACTACTTCTACTTCTACTATTACGGCTACGGCTACGGCTACGACTACGACGACTACTACTACTACTACTACTACTACTACTACGACTACTACTACTACTACTACTACTACTACTACTACTACCACTACTACTACTACGACTCCTACTAGCACGACTACTACTACGCATGATGCTACGACCACTGCAACTAGGACCACTTCTATGATTGCTTCTACTACGACTGCGCTTACTACGACTACGATTACGACAGCGATTACGACTACGACTGTCACTACTGCTGCTGATAAATCTAAACTAGAACCACGCGCGCGCTTCGCGCGCTTAGGTTCTAGCAAGCTCCAGCCCTTGACAATCTCACAATTGCGTGCAAATGCGCATGCGCACATTTAACGTCACGACTTACCCACAATTGATTCCAACATAGGGTGAACGAGTTTCAGGAACGTGCGCCGCTCAGAGACGATTTCGGACAAGGCGCGCTACGAAGATTCCAAGGACGCCCCAGGGGGGTGTGGCGGAAAACTCCAAAGGACAATCCAAGAGGACCACAAAGCGCCCTGAGAGGGGCCCAAAGGGGGTCCCAAGAGACGCTTGAAGAGGGCCCCAAGAAGCCACAGGACGTAGTACAGGAGGGCCTCAACAGGCGTCCCAAGAGAGCACGAAGGTGGCCCCAACGTGGCCTCCAGAGAATCCAGGGAAGTGTCCCCACAAAATCCGAACAGGTTCCGAAAAGGGCCCCGAGGCGAAGGCCCGACAGTGCCGCAAGAAGTGCGCCGAGGAGGCTTCAGAAGGAGGCCGAAGAGGGCTCAGAAAGAGCTCCAAGAGTAGCGCCAAAATTGCCCCAAGAGGTGCTCCAAGAGGGACCGAAGATGCCCACGGCCCGAGGAGGGCTCCAACAGGGTGTTCTGCGACAAGGGGGAGACTTCCCCCGCCTTCGCCGGCCACAGGGAGGGGCTCGCCGTCGTCGCCGTCGCCAGAGCCGGCGCCGTCGCCGACGCGGCCGCCGTGGTCCCTGTCGTCGTCGTCGTCGTCGTTGTCGTCGGGGTCGTCGTCGTCGTCGTCCTCGTCGTCCTCGTCGTCCTCGTCGTCGTCGTCGTCGTCTTCGTCGTCGTCGTCGTCATCGCCGTCGTCGTCCTTATCGTCGGCTTAATCGTCGACGTCATCGTCGGGTGGTGCTGCAGAGCGCCGAAATCAGTCACATACCGAAAGGAGCCACTTGAGTGCTCTCTTCGTGTGCCACTCCGAGAGCCCGTCGTCCCCTCCTGCCACCGTGCATGGGTTATGTGTCAGAAGCCGTTTTGTAGCCTCCTAGGGGCCGTTTGGGAGTCTCTTTTGGGCTTCTTCGGGGCCTCTTTTGGCTCTCTTGGGGCATCTTGGGGGCCTCTTGGAGCCTCCTGGGGGCCTCTTGGTGCGGAAGGCTCGACTTGTCAGCTCGCGTTCTCCCTCTTCGGCTCCTCTTGAGGCCGTCCTGAGGCCCTCTTGGGGCGCTTTCAGGCGCCTCTTGGGCCGTTTGGGGACCCTCTTGGGCTGTCTTGGCCGCCTCTTGGGGGCCTCTTGGGCCCTCTTGGGGCGATGTTGGAGGCTTCTTGGGCAGTCTTGGTGCGTAGGAAGCCCGAAATCGCGAGAACGCGAAGGACAGTGAAAAACACAATGAAAATCTATGATTTTGGTTTCTTGATGCGGCCTCTTGGGGGCCTCTTGGGCCACGGGCGGCTTGATGCGATCATGGGCCGCCTTGGCGGCCTCTGGGCGTCCTCCGCGGGCGCCGAGGAGAGCCCTCGAGGCACAGGGAGCGCCCTGGAGCGTTCAAAAAGGCCCACTGGCGCTGGGGACGAAAGTGGGTTGCCGGGGGGGGGAGTTTTGAAAAAGTGTGCTGCCCCCTGGCCCGGGGAGCCGGACGCCGCTTGTATTATACATAGATGTATATGTGTGTATATATGTATACATATGTGTGTATACATCTATATATATAGAGAGACATGTATACATCATGTAAATATTAGACATTCAAATAAATGTACGTCAACATATTTGCATGCATGGTGATCCTACTGTTGTCGTTGATACTTATTACCAGCATCATGCCACGCGCGACGCACATGCTCCAAACATTGCGTTCAGTGAGAGAACCTCGCGTACATTCTATAAAAGTCTACCTATCCGAGGTTACTCGCTAACAGGTTGATGGTATCCTGCACTTGTTTCGCGTAACTTGCAAGGTTGGGAACGAACCAAAGGTGCCAGGGATAACTGAACAACCAAACTCATCGAAACCAACTCACGCGAACTAGGCCGATTACAATCCAACATCTAGATTATGTGTTTTCTTCGGGCCCACGCATTGCGAACCGCAATCTAACTGGGCCCTCGCTCAGCAAAAGCTCCATGCCCTGGTATGCTGGCAGATGCACATCAACTCCGCTTCAAGCCGCATTCCCATGCAGACCCTCCGCACGTCGCTTCGCAAGACTCGCGGGGGCAAGTATTAGATCTCGTCCTTCCAGACCTCGAAGAACGCCTTCGCCAGCGCAGAAGCCTGTGCCGAGGGAACGATCCGAATCAGCTTGGAGCCCGCTGCCAAGCCGGTGGTCGACAGGGCCTCCTGCATCTGTTCGAGTATCCCTGCTCCACACATTTGCGCACCCGTGAGCTCCTTGCCTTGACACTGGCTGGGCAGCTTGGACTCCTTGGTCCAAGACAGCAGGGATTTCAACCTGTCAACATCGAGCAAGGTCGACCTCGCACGACAGAGCTCCCAACCTTCGGTCGCCTCGACCTTGTTGAGCACGGCGCCGATGTACGCGTCCGCTCCGGGCAGGAAGATGATGAAGCACGTCTCCTCGGAAGGCCACTGGCGACTTCCGAGCGTCACGGGCACAACGCGTTCTTGATTGAGCTCATCCTCCGTCAGGCCATTGCATCTATCGGGTCTCAGCAGCGTCTGCACCTCCCCTTTCGGAAGGAGGCTCCAATTAGGCTTCTCCGAATTCTTATTGAAGTCGTGCACCATCCACCACTTATTGTTCCACACGTTCAGCTGCGCCTCGGACAGCTGGGCCCGCAAGGAGAAATAGTTGAACTCGAAGCACGCAAACTGGAGTTGTGTGCTCGTCTCTATGATAGGCTCAGTCGTGCACAACAGCGAAAACTTGCAATTTGTGCAATCCCGTGTGCGGAACTGCTGGCAGGCGATGACGCAGTTCATCGAACTGCAGTTTCGGATCATAACGCTGCTCATTGTGGGACCGATGAAGATGCGGCAGCCCTCGCACTCGTCAACGAAAACGCATGCAATGTGGTCCATTAGGAATATGTCGCAGTCTTTGCACTCCTCTACATTGAACTGCTGCCCGTCGATCGTCCCCGCGTCCTTGACTATCACCTCCCCGTTTCTCTTCGACAGCACATAATCTGCTGGGTTGAGATTGCTCTTCTTCCTCTTCTCCTCAACCTTGACAATGGTAACTTTCTTGCCTGCAGCCGACGATGGCTTCGGCCCAGTGGAGCTACCGCAACCCATCGGATGCCAAAACGCACGGGACTTTATCCCGAACTCTTGAGCCAAACAAGACACGTAGTGCGAATTCCCCATGAATGTTATCCAGACGCGTTTCCGATTCACAGACCAGGGTGCAACAATCGCGGCGTCGCCCAATGTATGGTCCACTGGCGCGGGATGAAGTCACGGAGCTGGCTCCATGGATCCGCGAACTCACCATACAATCCTCGGGCGCGGATTGGAAAGAGGAGGCAGCTGGGCTCCAAAATGCAATTCCAAGACCGAGGCCTGCCGCGTCCGCCGACAGGCCTTGGACAGTGTGCTCATGCGAGGCGGGGGTCCATCCACCACCACCGCCTGGGGGACCAATGTCATGAGACCCAGGGGGAGGCGGATATGGATCTATGTGAACACCCCGACCGCCCGACGAGGTCCCCGAAGATCGATCCCACAGCTGGTGGCGATCGGTGCCTCGGAACTCGGAACCCATGCCTTGCGCGGCGTGGACCCTGCGCCACCCCTGGGCCCCAGGCAGGGCCCCGGGCCGAACCCCTGCAGCCCCCTGGGCCTCCGACGCGCCGCCAGAACCCGCCAGGGCAGGCTACACCAGACATCCCCCCTGGGCCAGGACAGGACAGGACAAGGGATCGCAGGGAGGCATGCGCGGATCCGCCTCCTGGGCCAGAGAGCGCCGCGCCACAGCAGAGAAGCGGTACGGATCCTCCCCCCTCTAGGCCAGGAGAAGAAGGAGAACGCGAAGACGGGCGAGACGACGAACGCTCCTCTATGGGTCACGATGCGTGTGAGGAATGTGCCGACATGTGTGGGGGGGCGCATGCGGATTTTGCCACTGGGGCCTCCGATGGAGCTCCCTATGGGGCCACGAAGCGTGTGAGGAGTGTGCTTGGGCGCACGCGGATTTTGCCTGTGGGGCCTTCGGTGGAGCTCCCTACAGGGCCCTGAGTCGTGTGAGGGGTGCGCCGAAATTGGGCGGAGCCGCCATCATTCGGACCTTGCCACTGGGACATTCGGTGGAGCCCTCTATGGGGCCACGAAGCGCCCAAGAGAGCCCCAAGAGAAGCCCGAGAAAAACACCCCAAGAAGCACCCCAGAAACTCGAGTAGACCCCCAGAGGTCCAAAATCAGGTCCCCAAAGGAAGCCAAGATGCAACCGAGAGGCCCGCAAGACCAAATTACATCCCAGAGGTTCCCGAGAGGCCTCCCTAGAAGGCCTCCGACCGACAACATAGGAGCGATGGCGAGACGGGCCGAAGGTCACTATATCCTCTACCATCCTCCCCTCCTCCTTCTTCTCTTCCTCCTCTTCCTCCTCCTCCGTCTCATCCAACCCTTTTATCTGTATGAATAACTCCTCCCTGTCGCACCCCCAATCGTGTCGGTAGGGCGGGCCGGGCGCTGCCTGATGCGTCTTCAGAATGCGTGGTCATGAAGCTCGAAATTCGCAACATATTCAAAGCTGGAGAGCGGCCCGTTTTCAAAATGCGGCCCTCGCAGTAACGCCGCGTACAACCGTCTGAGAAGCTCGCAACCGCTTCCAGGATGGACGGCGGCCCGTTTGCAAACTGTGGTTCCCGCCTCAGCGCCGCGCACATTCGCCAAAACAGTTTGCATTGGAGGGTGAAAGTGGGGGTCGGCCGCAGGGTCCCGGCAATGATGTCTTTATGGGCCATGAATGGGCGATGCATCCTCGATTGCTGTGTTCGGCGGGGGAACTAATGGAAGCCCCCCGCCTGCACCCATGCGCGAGACTTGAAAGGAAAGGAAACAAGGGGGCGGGGGGCTCGGGAAAGGCAACGAAGGCAACGTGCGCTGAGGGCGCAAAAACAAAAGGCTGGAACACACGAGAGCGGTCAGGTGAGTGTCGAAATCTGCCCAGCCTATCTGACATGCGGAACAAAACGCCTCAGTGTTGGGGATCTTGAAGGCCAGGGCAAAATGTGAATTCACATTGTGGGGAAAAGCAAAATGTGAATTCACATTTTGGGAAAAAGGAAAATGTGAATTCACATTTTGGAAAAAAGGAAAATGTGAATTCACATTTTGGAATTTTGTGTAGGTTTCTTTCTGAAACGGGCCAAAATGTGAATTCACATTTTGGGAAAAAGGAAAATGTGAATTCACATTTTGGGAAAAAGGAAAATGTGAATTCACATTTTGGGAGACAAGTGGCCCCCATTCCAAATCTGTCTTGGGGGTCGAGAAGTCATCGTTTGGGAACATACACGATTATCAATGGCACAATCAAGACACACTTGCACTCCACTTCGCTGCCCCACGCGCAATATGCAAGAACCCCCGCACGCATGAACGATAATGGATGGACGGCGCGTGTGCCCGCGCGGGCAACGCGCGGGCACGAACGACTGGCCCTCAATGACCGCCAACATTGGATGCCAATCGTACCCGTTCACATACATGAACGATACATTGAGCATACATGGGCCATTCAGCCCCCATTGAAGACCCCCTGTTGCAGACCCCCTCTTTCACCCTCAAGACGGAGGGCGGCTCCGGTTCAAAAGGTGGCTCTCGCGTTAGATCGGCGCACATTCGCCTCAAAAGTTTGCCACTGTTTCAAGGATTCGTGTTGCCGAAGGCCGAGGAACTGTTCTGGAATGGCTTGGGATTGTCAGGACGCGCCAGTCATATTGATTCGCTGTGTTGAAGTCCCAGGAATAGTTTTCTGGCACGATTGTGGGATTGTCAGAGGGGGCGCGTTTCACGGGCGCTTGCCATCCGGCGGCGCCTTTCAGCCACGAGGGGGCCCAGGGAAACTCCCCTCCCCCCGCTCCCCCCCTCAGCGGCGGCTGGCAGCCCCGACGCCGGCGACACGGCCACGATGACCAGGATGAAGACGACGACGACGACGACGAAAAAGTCCCTTGTAGTCATGTCCTCGGCCCTGAATGACAGAATTTTGACGGGGTCGGACATCAAGAATAAAGTATTTTTCGCGTGGCGCCACGGTTTGCGTCATCGTCGTCGTCGTCGTCGCCGTCACCGTCACCGTCGTCGTCGTCGTCGTCGCCGTCGTCGTCGTGGGCATGCTCGAGGTCGTCGTGATCGCCGTCGCCGTCGTCGTCGCCATCGTCGTCCTCGTCTTCGACGTGGTCGTCGTCGTCGTCACCGTCGTCGTGGTCTTCGTCGTCGCCATCGTTGTCGCCGTTGTCGTCTCCGTTGAAGTCGTCGTCGTGGTCTTCGTCATCATCGGCGTCGTCGTCGTCGCCGACGCTGTCGCCGTCGTGGTCTCAGTTGTCGTCGCCGTCGTCTTCGTATTAGTAATCGTCGTCGTCTTCGTCGTTCTCGTCGTCCTCTGCGACGCCGTCGTCGTCGTCGTCGTGTTCGTCGTCGTCGACGCCATCGTCGTCGTCGTGCTGGTCTTCGTCGTCGTCGTGGTTTTCGTCGTCGTGGTCGCCGCCGTCGCCGTCGTTGTCGTCGCCGTCGTCGCCGCCGCCGTGGTCGTCGTCGTCTTCGTCGTCGTTGTCGTCGCCGTTGTCGCCGTCGAGCACGTCGTCGTCGTCGTCGTCGCAATCGTTGTCGTCGACGTCGTCGTCGTCGTCGCCATCGTTGTCGTCGTCGTTGTCGCCGTCGTCGTCTTCGCCGTGGTCGCTGTCGTCGTCGTCGTCGTCGTCGACGTCGCGGGCGCCGCTGCCGCCAGCCGGCGCCGACGCCGGCCTGGAGGAAGAGGGGGCCTTGAATCGTCGTCCTCGTCGACACTGCTACCCGCCGCCGCCGACAGCCGCCGCCAGCGCCAGCGCCGACCCAGAAAGGAGAGGGGGGCCGGCGCCGGCGCCGGGGGGGGTGTTCGCGTGGGTCAGGGAGCATAGCAGTCATGATGCAAGTAGGGAACAGGAGTGTCCCGAGCCACGGGCCCTAGATCGAATCAACAGGACCCGTGGCCCCGTGTCACAAAGTGTTGCGTTTTTTCCCCTGGCCCCCGTTGACAAGGACCTTTTGGCCGATGCCCTTTTTCGGCCCCAAGCAGCCTCCAAAAGGGCACCGATGTTGTTGGCCAAAGAACTCTGGCCGGTGACCTCCGACGGCCGGCGATCTCAAAAAGGTCACCGGAGGCCGGGTCACCAGCAGCAGCAGCGCGAAGTAAGCACTGGTACATGTGTACATGCTTGCCCCTCTCAGGGGAATGCGGTGCGCCCCTACGCCTGCATGAACCTGGGAAGGAGGGAGGCCCTCCAAATGCTGTGCGACTTTACGCCTGCATGCGGATGCCTCCCAGTAGCTTTACTGGTGCTGCCGATTTGGCTCAAGTGCGCAGTGGAGGAAAAACATCCCTTCTTCCCGCATAGGGGCTCGCGGCGACCGGCCCTCCCGGGGAGGCCGCAGCAGGGCGTGGTCCCTGGAGGTGCGGTTGGCCGAGGCGGCCGACTACCTTCTCAGGACCGTCCTCGGCGTGGCACCGAGGCCCCATTGACGGCCTCTATGACTGCTCCAGGCCTCCCGGGAGGAACCCGCGGCCAACTTGAAGGCCGTTGCAGGGGCCTCAGGGGCTCCAGAAGTCGACCCAGAGTCAGTAATCAGTGAAGATGACGCCGGAGGACAGTAAAGCCCTTTCAAGGTTCGAACCCCCGCCCTCCCCTTGAACGAAAAGGGGGGGCAATTCTGGACCCCCCCCCGGTCCAAGCGCCCACAGAAAGAACTGTTTCGATTGTCAAGACGCGTCTTGGGCTTGCACTGGTCATCCTCCTCTTTCTCCGCCTCCTCTCCCTCCCCCTCCTCCTCCTCCTCCTCCTCCTCCTCCTCCTCCTCCTCCTCCTCCTCCTCCTCCTCCTCCCCGTCCTCCTCCTCCTCCTCCCTCCTCCACCGTCTCCCACACCCCAGACATCTGGCGCTCCGAATTGTTCGATGCATGGGCAGCCAGGCTTCTCGATGGCAAGTCCCCCAGGGCCCGCTCTGTCTCCCATAGCTGTCTTGCTGACGGCGCTGAGGCCCAAAATCCAGGAGGACGTCTAGGACACCTCTCCTCCTTCTGCCTGAGCTCGGCGCCCACTCTCCGTAGTCGTTCACGGCGGCCTCTGGAAGGCTGGGGCAGTCACGACAAGCGCGGACACAGAGAGATGCGAAGTGCGGGCAGGAGTGAGAAGTTCAGAGAAAAGACACGACATCCAAAAGGGAAGGGATGAGCATGAATGGAGGACGGAGGAACGACCTTTGCCTCCTCGCTCTCGGCTCCTGGCTCTCGCCTCAAGCCTCGTTGCACATCCAGTGGGCAACGAGCCGAGAGCGACGAATGAGGAGACGAAGTGCGTCAAGGCCGGAGGAGAGGAGGGAGCGAATCGGGCGGGCTGCTTCAGTTAAAACGAGGGCAGGACGGGGATAACATCGGGTGAGGATAAATCGAGAATATCTGAGACCTGGCGGCTCTGGAGGATGTCTCGGACGCCGCGGCCTTCTCAGAGCGTTCCAGAACGCCCTGGAACGGATTTATCCTCGTCCTAGCCCCGCCCGATCCGACCTCGGCACCACAACCCTCGTCTGGCAACCCTCCTGTTTCTGAGCGGCCGGTTGGCAACCTGACGCCGCAAATCGCTCCAATCCCGTCACTGTGGTGCTGGGCGCGCTGCGGGTACAGTCAACGTTCCCGGGCCTAGTCTAAGGAACGGTCAGAGAACCAGAGCCCCTCCGAAACCCAAAGTGGTCCTTCTGTTAACGTCGTGAGTGTATCAAAGTCCGCCATCGCAGGATGCCGCCAGCATCAGCTCTGCAATGAATGAAATCGGGCGGCGTGCTCGCAACCCGAGCGTCATGTAGCAAAACCCGGCTGCGCCGTGGCAAACTCCGTCTACGACCGCACACAAAGAACAAAAGGGCACGCATGCCCCGTCATCACTGAGCAGGAGTGGTGCAGCGCTGACGACGCTCAACATTACCAGGCTCTCTCTCTCTCTCTCTCGATCACTCTCTGTTTCTCCATCTGTCTCTAAATCCGAATCGATTTGCGTCTGTATACATATGTACACACACATATATATATACATATATATACATATATGAATACATATAAACATCTGTGCAAGCCGGGGAGACTCTCGGGGGCCAGAACTGTTTTGCATCCTTAACTCTGTGTGATGACTCGACCCGGAGCTCCGTGCGACATTGACTGGCTGGGCGAGGCACCTCGACCAAGGAAAACGAGTCCCGAGACAATCACGATCCAACGGACACTGCTCGAGCTGAAAATGGGTGGGAGCGCAGCGTGGGTGGGAGGCTTGAGCACGGGTGGCCGCGGCCCCCTCCCGCTCGCCACAGGCAGCAAAGAATCTATGGCACGCCATTGCAATCTGTGCAAGCCGGGGAGACTCTCGGGGGCCAGAACTGTTTTGCATCTGCAACTCTGTGTGATGACTCGACCCGGAGCTCCGTGCGACATTGACTGGCTGGGCGAGGCACCTCGACCAAGGAAAACGAGTCCCGAGACAATCACGATCCGAAATCTAAAAACTCGAGCAACACCGAATTTTGAAACCCTGGCCTTAGGCCAACACAAACCTGTCCAGGCTACGAAACGAGTGGTTTCGCAAAGCCTGTTGGAAACACTTAGCTACCAGCCTACACAAGTCTTTGGGATACGGTTCTGCAATGTGCGTCCAGAAGGTGCCTGAGGCGTCTTTGCCTTCGAGGATCTGATGGGGGCGGCGGCTGAAGCTGCAGACACCACGACCCGAACATTTACACGGTAAGAGAGGGTCGAGGTTGAGATGGCAATATAAGAGCCGAGTGCGCTTCCGCCACGCGGTCGAGAACGCACAAAAATCAAAGTCTACAATGCGAGTGTTACGAATGCGACTGAGATGGATTGCACCTGGGAGCTGCCACAACCAAGAGGTGCTAGGGTTCTCAATTACAACTGGTATGTTCAAACTGCGCGCTAGCAAAAAGAGAGAGAAGCTAAAAGTGGCAAGCGTGTTTCCTCTCTCAACTCTGAGCTGGTCTCCCGGCGACAGGCCTGGCAACCCCAGCGGGAACTGTTTCGTCCGAAGGGGCGGTGGCCCGTTGGGCCGGTTGCGGGCGCGGCTCATCGACTGGCAGGGCGTCGCAATCCAGATTGCGGCAATGAGCCGACTCCGCACCCAGCCCCTCACCAGCTGCCTGATGCGCTTACGGAGGAGGTCGCTGTCGGTGTCGTGGCGAATGTCCAGCTCAAAAGCGGCATGCTGCGACCGGAAGCGCAAGCGCCATGCCGCGGACATCCGCCCAGAGCCGCTGAAGACTTCCAGGAAGACGCCGGCCCTGGCGTGCCTCACCCACGAAGCCAGCTCGCCGATAGGGTGGCGCCAATCCCGCGGAATGCCTGCTCGGCTTGGAGCTGCAGGGCGCGCGGGAAGCGGTGCAGCTGCTCCTGCACGCGGCCGCCCTTGGCGTAGCGTCGGAGCGCGGCATCGGTGGCCCACCTGCCGCGCTTCTGGATGTCGCGGAGGGGCCGCGCCGCCGCGTACAGCTCGTGGCTCGCGCCGCCGTGCCGCAGCTGGTGCAGCGCCAAGTTGCCCAGGACCTGCAGGCCGAGGTCGGAGACGGCGGCCTTGAAGTGGTAGTTCCACTGCGCGTAGGTGACTGGGAACAGGCGGTGGCCAGCGGGCGTGCGGCGGTGCAGCTCCTGGACGAGGTTCGGCATCCACGGAAAACAGGTCGAGTCCACCAGCAAGCTCTCGTCGAACACACCTGTCTTGGACGGGGTCTGCCTCTCGAACAGATGGAGGACCACGCACCAATGGTGCATCGTTGTGGCTGAGGTGAATCCTGGTGGGATGAGCTGGGCCTGCACGAGCTCCAGCGCCTCTCGCGGCCTCAAGTACAGGCCGAACGTGAGCGCGGTCAGCCATGCATGCATGGCCAGGCCCCTGCGGCACAGGACCTCCACGATGAGGCACACCACGGGCCAAGGGAGCGGCAGGCGCGACCGCGGCGGTGCCAGGCGCGACCAGCCCTTGGCAGCCCGTGCCGCCCGCGGCAGGCGGCCCTGGCGCGGTCCGAGGTCCGGGCGCACGAAGGCGAGGGCCGCCATCAGCTTCCAGGCGTCGCTGCTCTCGCCCCCGTCCAAGAACTCCTCGTGAAAAAACAGCACCAGTGTCTTGTCCACCTCCGTCGGCGTCCCCAATGAGTGGCCCCGCTGGCAGGCCCACAGGCTGAAGGCAGCGTGCCGGCGCTCGTAGTCCGCCCTGGTCGCATCCCCCACTGACTGCTCCTCCAGGAAGGTCAAGCCCCGGCGGGGGGCAGAGGGCGGGAGTGCAGAGAAGCGGTTCGCCCTCTCCTGCCGGCGAACAGCCCGGCGGTCGCTCTCGGCTGGGCGCGCCACTGTCTCTGACGCCACGCGCGGCCTGCGCCGCGACTGGCTGGCAGCGGCAGCCGCCACAGCAGCCGCTGGCCGCTTGCGAGACCGCAGAGCCGGCGCAGATGGCATCGCCATGCAGCCGAGGGCCGACATCGTCAGCGGCGCCGCCATCGCGTCGGAGAGCTGCCGCCTGGGCCGGCGCACCGGGCGCGGCAGGCCCTGATGTCTTGGCCCGCACGGCTTCGGGGATATCACCAGCCTGGGCACGAGAGGCAGGGTCAGCGCTGTTGTGCTCGGATGGGACCCAACGCCAGACTGCCGAAGACCCCGAGGCTAACAGGAGGGCGCAGGCCTGGCGACAAATCCGCAAAAGCGGAGGCGACGATGATCTGCCTTTGAGCAACGCCAACACTGGGGCCATGGAGTCATTCAAGATGATGTGCGTGGTGTTGAAATTTCGAGCGGCTCGCAATCGGTGCTTCAAGCATAGGACTAGCGCTCTCCCCTCCAATACCACCTGTGCCTCCCTCCTGGTCCATGGTGTAGACAAAACCCGATGCCATCCTTCCGCCCAAACCACCTCCGGCACCTCCTCGAACATGACCTCCTCCTCACGATTAAGCTTCGGCTCGACTCGGAAAGGGACTCGCTGCTCCATGGCTGCTGCTATGACTGCTGGATCTCGATCGTGCTGCGACGAGGCGTGTCTGATGCATGATGTGGTGATATGCTCAGCTTGCTTGCTCTCCCGAACCAAGGCCTTGTCCCGCGGGGCGACCTGCTGCTCTCCATCACGACTGAACCTCCATCGCTCGTTGAAGATAGACAGTCGACGGGCTTGATCTGGGGTGATGGTCTTCTCAGTCACTCCTGCACCCCACCACGATGCGTCCACGCAAGATACGACTGGCGAGAGCGGCCGCCCGGCGTCTCGGAAGCACAGGGGCAGCAGCGCGCGGCACCAGGTCAGCTCTCGCCTCACTGCCGGAGTCAGCCGCCGCCTCTCGCGGCCGCCGTCCCCCATGAAGCCATACACGGCCCCCAGGCAGCTCAGCAGCTCGCGGCGAATTAGCGCCCTCGACGTGAAGTGAGATATCACCTTCATCATGGTGTGGCCACTGCACCAGCCTCGCTCCAGCAGCTCGCCGATACCCAGACGAAGCCGCCAGCGGAGGCGGACGCTGAGACCGATCACGGGCTTGTCCTCGTCGAAGTGCCAGCCCAGCGTGTCGCCGCCGACTGATGCCTCCACTGGGTGAGTGGGCAGGCTTGAAGCCGTCAGCTCCTTCTGCACTACAGCCGCCGCGTCGTGTACCTCGCTCAGCGTGTGGGAGAAGGCGATGAAGTTGTCAACGTAGACCGTGTGCGCCATACCTTGCTGCAGGTCAGGCGCGGGCCGACGGTCCACGAGACGACGGCCAAAATGGCCAGGAAGAGCCCGAGCAGTCACCGCCTCGTTCAAACTCTGGCAGATCCAAAGGCTGATGCCCCAGCCCATCGGCGGGCACCTGAAGCACGGCGCGACCCAGGACGACGGTCGCACCGCCGATCCATCGGACAGGTGCGCGAGTCCGAGGTCGCCAGCCCTCAGCCTGGGCAAGCCAAAGTAGCGGCGAAGCCACGACGGAAGCTCGATCTGGTAGAAGGCGTCGCAGATGTCGACGCCCCCGATGCTGATGGGCTCGTCGCCGTCGACCGAAATCTGGGCGAATGCAGAGCCCGTCGCCAGCTCCACGGAGTCGGCTGGCGCGAACCTGAGGGATGCACGACGCCCATCGAGGATCATTCGCAGCGACCCGTTCTTCTTGCGCACGAAGAACATGCCAACGTAACACTCCGCCGAGCTGTAGAAGTCAACCAGCCCGGCGTCCAGAAGCCGCCGCACCACCATCGAGTAGAGGCGCGGGTTGCGGAGGCCTGGATCCGTGTAGAGTCGTCTCGGACCTGCCTCTCTGATGCGCTCCAACCCCAGCTGTCGGGGCAGGAGTAACTCTTTCAACCGATGAGCGATATTCTGGCCTGCCATCTCGTCGATCGTCTCCAGGGCGGCGGGTCGGCTACCAGCAGGAGGCAATGAGATGGAGTCGACGAGGTCGAAGCTCACCGGGGCAACCAACGTGGCGTCACCCTCGTATGATTGAGATATCCGGAGCTCCTCAAGGGCTCCTGGACCGTCCAAGCCCTCTGGGCACGGGCCAAACCTCAACGCGGCCTGGCGGAGCTCCGAGAGGACGAGGGCGTGGCCAGCTGCAGGCGCCGGCGTGCCGGCGGGCGCTTGACGGCGCGCCGCCGGCGGGCAGCCCCAAAGCTCGTTCAGCGCGTCGGTCATCTCGTCGACCATGCCGTGAACGTGGGACCGTTTCTCAAGGCGCCTGCGCACTGACCTCGATGGCGGGGTAGGTGTAGAAGGAGATGGGGCCCCAGCGCCAAAATAGGGCAAAGGAAAGAGATCACGCTGGCGAAGATCGGCGCTGGAGTTGGAAGCCTCATGTACAGGTAGATCTGCTGCACCCGCGAGGCCCACGGGCGCCCCCTCTCTCGACCTGGCAGGCTACTGGGCGAGGGGCTCCCAGAAGCCGTCCGCGTTGCTCATGATGACAGAGCGCGACGCTCCTCTCGGGCCTTCCTGATCTGCTTCAGGATCCCTGCGTCGCGCTCTACCTGCTTGGAGACATGCTCCAGTAGTAGCGGGCAAATCATCGAGCGGCCGTCCTCCTTGGCCGCCCCGGTGAACACCGCAGCTTCGTCCACGATGCCGAATCGGTGAAGCCCTCCTCCACGCCCTCGGCCCCTCTTCTTGCCGTCGCCGTCGTTGCCGTCCTTGGAGCCCCTCGACTGCTGAGCCTCGAACTCCATGGAGTAGATGTACTCGTAGAGCTGCGCCTGTCGAATGGCCAGCTCCGCCCCGACCAGGTCGGGGAGGTTCACCTGATCCCAGCACGCGAGGTGCTCTATCATCTTCATGATATTCTCGTAGTGGGCGACCCCGTAGTCCTCCTTCGTGAGGTGGTAGAAGGACACGAAGCTATTGTAGTGCTCCACGGGGCCGCCCCTCTTCCTGTCGATGAACTGTGCGCACCACAGCATGGTGCGAGGACCGTCGAGCAGCCACCCAGGGATGATGTTCTCCACCATCATCGGCACCGCGTCGCGCCACGCCAGACGCTGCCTGGAGCCGTCAGGCCGAGGCGGCACGCCCAGCAGCCTGATGTCCGACCCGCTCTCGGCGCACCGATACACCGAAGGGTCCATCGAGATCCGACGGATGGCGACCCAGCCCGCGTTCACCTGGATGAGTCCGATGTCCCCTTCAATCCGCTCGGTCCCGTTGAGCTGCACTACGTCGCCCCGATTGCCTCCACCAGTGCTCTCGATGAGCACCCAGGCCGGGGCCGGCCCCCCAGGCGGTCCAGCCGCGCCTGCCACAGCCGGCGGCGGACCGCCAGCGGCGCCCGCAGGGGCGCCCGCAACAGGCACGGCTGCGCCAGCCGCGAGGCCCGCTGCAGGGGCAGCGGCGGCGCCGGCGGCGGCCGCGATCGCCAGGGGCGCAGCAGGCGCCGCGCCAGCGGCGCCTCCACCCGCGGGCACGAGAGCGCCAGGGCCTGCGCCAGGGACGCCTGGTCCAGGGGCTGCTGCTGTGAAATCGAACTCCACGTAGGAGCCGCCCGCTGGGAGCACGCGCGGTCGGCCAGCGGCGCGCTCTCGATCCAAGTACAGCTCGTCCGCCACCTGAATGAGAGCGTCCTGGATGGCGACCGTCTCGCGCCCGTTCAGTTCCCGCCTGAAGCGGTAGAGTAGGTTCGGGTCCACACCCTGGAGCGCCTGGCGAGTCGGGCTGAAGACCACAGTGACGATATCTGGATTGCTCCGACTGTACCGCTCCTCGTACACGTCATGGTCAGCACTAGAGATCAGGAGGTCCAGCGGGTCACTGCTCCCCGCTGCTGGATCCGCCAATCTGCCCCAGACCCTCCGCTGGTGCCAGAGCCGCTCTCCTCGATACAGCACCCAAGCCCAGCGCAGGACGCCGGGCGGTGGCGGCACTGTGGCGGCCATGGCGACGGCACACGAGGCCCTTCACGAGACTGACGAGGCCGCGCCAGAGCTGTATCGTGGCCAGGACCACGTGGCCCAACAGCAGCGCCGCCCAGCTCCAGAAAGAACTCGAAGGCAGCTCCGCCGGCGCTGCCGCCGGCTCGGGTGCCGGTGGCGCCGCGGGCGCCGCCGGCGGCGGGGGCGGCGCAGGGGGCGCCGCCGGGCAGATCAGCTGCTCCTCCGCAGCACGGCAGTGGACCTCCCCACACGAGAGGTTCGGGCAAGACACCGACGGGCACGTCGGCGAGGCTGGGCACGAAGGGACCGCGGGGCACGGCGGCGCACGCGAGATCCAGGCCGCCAGCAGGTTGGTGGCGGCGCCCAGGAGCCACACGAACGGCTTGCCAACCATCCGCGCCTCTGCCTGGACAGGTCCCCCCAGCTCGCTGGATGAAAGGCTTGAGCACGGGTGGCCGCGGCCCCCTCCCGCTCGCCACAGGCAGCAAAGAATCTATGGCACGCCATTGCAATACAAACACATACATACTCACAAGTGGGGCCGACTCAGAAAACGGGGAATCCAAAATTGTTGAGGTCTCACGTTTACTGTTGCAGCCTCCCGCTGGCCTCCGCAGGTGAAACTCGCCACCGATGTACTTCCGCTGGCTGTCCGTTGGTTTTCCGCCGAAGGCGCGATAAACCGAAGACGACACGAGCCGAAGGCGAGGCGCTTTCTTGAACAGCGCACATGCATGGCCCCCGTGTTGCAGTGTCGGGCTGTTGCCGCCGGGGTCTGCGCGGCGGGCCGCGCGCGGTGAGCACCTGGGCCGACGTGCCAGGCTCTGGCCGCTGTCGCCAGTGGGGTTTTGAGCGCCTGGGCGCGCGGGTGTCTGCAAAGTGGGCTGCACGGTGGCTACACGGGGCTGCGCTGTGCGCTGCGGGGTGGGCAACCGGCCCGATGTGCGGGGTTCTGGCCGTGGGGGCCGTGCGGCGGGCTGCGCGGAGGGTCACGCTTCGCCAGGCTGCACGCAGTGGGTCGGGGGGGAGGGGTCGCGAGTCGCGAGATGCGCGGGTTGGGGGCGGGGCGGGGGTTGTGGGTCGAGCCGCAGGGCGCGCGGTGACAGTGGAGCAGAGGAGCGGGTCGCGGCAGGGGGTCGCGGTGGCACGCAGGGCGCAGCATCCGGGCGAGGCGCCCGCAGCTGGCGCCCCCAAGCGCTGGCCGGCAAGCGGCGCGGGGGAGGGCAACGACGATCTGCCCGACGCGGGGAGGCGCCTCCGCGCCCTTGGAGACGCAGGCCAGGGCAGACCTGGGCGGCTCAGCTCGTCCTCCTTGCTATCCCCCTCGTCGTCCCTCCTCCTCCCCCTCCCCCTCCCCCTCCCCCTCCCCCCTCCCCCTCCCCCTCCTCCTCCTCCTCCTCCTCCTCCTCCTCCTCCTCCCTCCTCCTCCTCCTCCTCTTCCTCCTCCTCCTCCTCCTCCTCCTCCTCCTCCTCCTCCTCCTCCTCCCTCCTCCTCTCCTCCTCCTCCTCCACTCCTCCTCCTCGTCGTCGTCGTCCTCCTCCTCCTCCTCCTCCTCCTCCTCCTCCCCGTCATCCTCCTCTTCCTCCCCCTCCCCTCCTCCTGTCAGACCTCTTAGACCCGGCGGACACCCAGTCACCAAAGAACAACGAGCGCCGACTACAAATTAAGTTTCCCAGGAGTAACTCGGCTGGCCTGGAGCAGGGGGCAGGGGCGGGGGCGAGGGAAAAAAGGAAGAGAGGAGAGGGGAAAGGCAGGCCCAAGCCGAAATTTCGTCCCAAGAAAAAGCCCTTTGAGGATTTTGCACCGTTCCGAACTCTTCCTCAGGGGCTCACAGTTGCCCAGAAGACGGGCAGAGGCCTTGCATGTTGCAAATCCGCCACATCATACACAGAAAATGACAAGGACATCCGTCTCCACAACACAGGCCCCGTGCAAAACATGATGATCCCCATTTTGCCCTCGCAGCAGCGAGGTCATGGTCGGGTTCAAGTCAGCACAGACTGATGTGGTGGCAGGAGTAACAGCTCGAAGGCAGCGGGAGCAGCGATGCTGGTCGCCGTGTGGAACCAGTACATGCCGGCTCTTCACTCGAGTCGGCGCATTGGTCTTCTCGGGCCTTCAAACTCTCTTGAATTGGGCACCAAAAAGGGGACACACTTGCAGGATAGACGTCGTCCCAGCCGCAAGACTGCTGTACTCAACCTCCGCCCTTTCAAAATCCAACAGCTCCTGGGGGCAAAAAGGTTATGACACTGGGCAGCAGTCTTAGCCCAGAGGTCGGCAAGGTGCGACCCCATAATAGTACAGCGATCGGCTTCATCTACAGCTTCGCAATAAGCCCTGTGGGCCTTGACCTTGTTCAAGGAGACCCACGGCCCCACGGCCCTTCGCGAATTGCCATGGAAATCTCACGCCAGAAAAAGACTGCCGCCCTGAGCCCTCCAGGGCTTTGGCAGGGCTCCGAGTCCCAAGAAGGAACGCAGCGCAGTCGACAGAAACATGCTTGGGGACACAAACTTCCGCAAGGCCCACTCAACGAAGGATGCTGACCGCAAGCGCGCCATGCTCAGCGTCGTTAGCCGTCTGGCGGAACTCCGCGGGAAGCGGGCTATATACACCGCGGACAAGCTGCTCTCCGCACCTCTGAACAACAGAAACACCACCCTCGATGTTTTTCCCTAGTCTCCGTTCATGCACGAGCCGTCTGTGTAAAGCTCGTCGCACGGATCAAACTGAAACTCGGCCGCGGGCTGCCCATCGCTCCCGAAAAAAGACACCAGCTGCCAGCCAGCCGCAAGTTCGGGGGGCTCGGGGAAAGGGACCCACAACCGCGAAACGAGGAAACAGTCCTGGGCGTTCCCGCGGATCTGGCCCAGGGCTTCGCCGCCAAAAAACTCAACCATCTTTTGCACAGCATCGGGATGGGGGCGCTCCCAAAATCTATGCCATAACGTATCGTCCTGCTCTTTGCACAAAGGGCACTTCGTATCTACTTCGTAGCCCCATCTCGCAACGGCTACTCATGCCGGAACCGTTCCCGACAGGATCTGGCAAAAGAAATGGGTTTGCTCTGAGGAACAACATTGTGCTACTCGCTGGATTAAGAGTAGCCACAGGCCTCTCCGCAAAATGTCGACCCCCCAGGGGCGTTGGTGAGTTGGGTGGCAATGGACTTCTGTAGCATAGCATGGCGGACGTCGATTAAAACAACTGGAGAGATCTCAGATGGGGGTCTCTCCGCGCGGGCCCGCCTGAAACCGCTCCTAGAAACAAAGACTGCAGGCCCTTCCCAAGACCAACCGCCAGCTTCCAGCCACAAAAAATGACCGAGGTCGGCCCACGAGTGCGATGCAACCGTGGCTTCCGCGGCGGGGCCTGGGCCAACCTGGTGCTCAGCCGAACGAAAGGCCTTGCTCAGGTCACCTGGGCCGGTCGCATGTCGCATCTGGACGCCGTGGCCGCCCGCGGGGCGGCGGTTCGCTGGCGTGCCACCACCCCCGCGCGCAGCGCTTCAACGGACCAGCGACGAGATAGAGAGGGTCCCCGCGATACTTGTCGATGGCCCACCGGGGCTCTAGAGAACGCCCGCGTTTGCTGAGCCCTGCAGCTCGCACTGCAGCTCGACGTACATGAAGGATTTCAGCTGGAGTAACCCCTTGAACTTCCATACCATGGGGAATAACCGAAAGGACCCCACGTTTGAATAATCTGGCCGTGGGCCCCCTCGAAATCCGCAACATCCCCAACCGACGATTTCGATGAATAAACTTCTTGGCGCGCTTCATGCGAATAGTCCAGGGCGGTCCAACTCTGTTGTGCTTTCCGGCCGTGAACGGAATCCCGAGGTTCCCCGGGGGCCACGTCATAGTCCCTCCCAAGAAGCCCAACTGTTTCCTGACTTCTGCGAGGAGCTCAAGAGAATTCGCCACGGAGCACATCTTCCGCTCCGCGAGCGGGACATTCAGGGCTGCAGCAATGTGGTCGGCCATGGTCGTCACCAAAGCCTTCAACTGCGCCACGCACTCACGAGGATTAACCTGCCACGAGTGGCGCGAGAGATCGTCGACATGAAGCCCTGGACTGGTGCCCTGAACACTACGACCATGCATAGCATAATACCACATGAACGCGTTCGCTTCATATGTGGCGGACATGCTGCCTGCAACTACGCCTCCACTGACATATATGACGGCTGCGAGCACGCTCCTTCCAGCAAAAGGTGTAGCTTCCATCGGTCTTGACAGCGTGTATAAAAGAAGGCCGCGCCGCCGCCTGGCTGAGATTCCCCGCGGGGCGCCCGCCGCCTCTGCGCCAGCTTCTCGCACTGGAAGCCCCAGCCGCGCCGCGCCAGCTCCGCGCGCGCAGCCCTGGGGGCGGCCGCGAGCGAGGCGGGGTTCGCGAGCGCGCGGGGGCCCAAGGCGCCGCCCGTCCTGCGCGAGGCGCGGGCGGCGCCGCGGCCGCGCCTGCCCAGGGCGCCGGGGAAGGCGCCGCTGCCCGAGGCGCTTTCCGACCCCGCGGCGCGCGGCGTGCCTGCCGACGCGCGCGAGGCCGAGGCGCCGCCGCCCGCCTTCCCCCAATCGCCGCGGCTCAACGCGCCCAGGCCGCCGCCGCCCGAACGTGGCGCGCGGGGATTGCCGCGGGCGAAACTGAACCCCGCCGACCTCGGCCTCCGTGGCTGCCTCGCTTTCGTGCCCCCCCGCTGCTGCGATGCCATCCAGAAGCGCCGCCCTGCGATCCGCCTCTCTCCGCGGCGCCCCTGCCCTCGCCGGTCCGCCATCTTCGCGAGCGCGAGCGGCTGCCCGACGTTGGCCGAGGCCGCCCGAAAGGGCGGCGGCCAGCGGGGGGCCGCGGCCGCCGTGGCCGGCGCCGCGCCCGGACGCGCTGACTGGGCCAACGAGCGCATAGCCAACCGGCAGCGAACCGTCGCGCGGAGACCGCTTGGAGGGGCGCACCTCTTCCGCCGAGCGCGCGGGGGCCTCGGCGGCGCGCGCGGGCCCGAACTGCAGGCCCGCGCAGGGGCCCAGGCCATTCCGTCGCGCGCGTCCGAGGGCGAAGCGCGCCTGGATAGCCGCGCATCGCGGCGCGCGCGGCGACGCCCTCCCGCGCCTCGACCGCTCCGCGCAATTGCCCGCGAAGAACCATGCAAAACGCCACCTTGGACGCGGCGCGAAATAGCATCCCGCGGCGCGCCTGCCCCTGCCCGCCGGAAGGCGCGGCGAGTCTATCGGGGGCGGGGGCCGCCGGGGGCCCCCGGGGCATCGAGCCAGGCGCGCTGCGCGCGGCGAAAACAAGCGACAAGGAAAGGGCGGCGGGGCGCCGGCGAGAGGGATGGGGGGGGGCGGCAGGAGGGAATCGAGCAAGGCGCACGCGCGCGGCGAGGGGGCGGCGGCGAGGGCAATTGCGGGGGGGCAGAAGGACATGAAAAAAATGGGCAATCGAAGCACGCGCACAACGCGACGAGGCAGCGAGAGACAGCGAGCGAAGGGGGGGGCGGAACAGAGGAGGAGAGGGAGAGGAAGAGGAGACCGCGACGCTAGAGCAGCGCGCGCGTCGCCCCCCGCCCCTGCCAGCGCCGCGCGAACGAGCCCAGGAGGCCGAAGCAGCGCTCCCAGCCATCGGAGCACTGGGGTTGCCTTCCCCCGCCCCCACCCCCCGCGGCCCCAGGACTGCCGCCCCCCACAAGCCGATCAGGCTGAAGCAGCGTCAGTGAAGGTCCTAGCTGAAAGCCACCTCTTCGCCAGCACCCGCTAGTCCGCGGGCGCCAGAACGGACGTCGGGGGCGCGGGGGGCCCGGGCTGCATGTCCACTGGGAACTCCGGAGGCCATTGTCCGCGAACGCCGCAGGGATGCCATTCGGTCCCGAGCCATTTGGAGAGACAGACAGCGCCGCAAACAAATGTTTGTTTGTTTGTTTGTGTTTTCCTTTCTTTTTTCTCTTTCTTTCTTTATTTCTTTCTCTCTCTCTCTCTCTCTCTCTCTCTCTCTCTCTCTCTCTCTTTCTCTATCTTTCTCTTTCTCTCTCTCTCTCTCTCTCTCTCTCTCTCTCTCTCTCTCTCTCTCTCTCTCTCTCTCTCTCTCTCTCTCTCTCTCTCTCTCTCTCTCTCTCTCTCTCTCTCTCTCTCTCTCTCTCTCTCTCTCTCTCTCTCTCTCTCTCTCTCTTTCTCAACCCACCCTCAAACATCTCTCCGCCTCACTCTCCCCAGCGTGCTCTGGCAGAGCGTTTCCGGAGCACGTTCCGCCGTGCTCCCCGACGTGTTCCCGCAGAGCGTTTCCGGAGCACGTTCCCCC